CGCTGGGGCACCGTGTGCGATGACGGCTGGGACAAGAAGGATGGGGACGTGGTGTGCCGCATGCTGGGCTTCCGCGGCGCACAGGAGGTGGCCCGGACCGCTCGATTCGGGCAAGGTAAGGCGCTCGGAGGAAAAGGCCACGGGGAAAAGGCCCAGGGATCCTAGGACTGGTCTCCTCGTCAACCCTCAAGCCCCCTCTGCAGCCCTCCTGCCATGGCCACCTGGCCTCTGCCCAGATAGCAGCTCTCTGTCCCCCAGGCAAGCCGGCCTGTCTTCGGACAGTGCTGACCGGCTGCAGGGACTTGTCCAGGAAAATACATGAGAGGAGGGGCCACATCCTGTCCAGACAGGGAAACGGAGCCAGGTCCCATCCAGACTGGCCATGGAGCCCTCCACGGCTCACAGCTGCCGTCTCCCCACCCCCACGATGGGCTGCTGCCGTTCTTGCTCAGCATCGAGTCCCTTAGACCTCAGTCACTGCTATGGACTGAATATCTGTGTCTCCCCGAACTCACGTGCTGAAATGCTAATCCCCAACGTGGTGGTAGGAGAGGGCCTCTGGGAGGTGATTTGGTCACAGATGGAGCCTTCTGATGGGATTAGTGCCCTTATAACGGGGACCCCTAAGAGCTCCCTCCTCCTCCTCCTCCTGTGAGGAGACACAGAGAAATCTAAACCCAAAAGGGGGCCCTCACCAGGACCCAACGTGCTGGCTCCTGGTCTCCAACCTCCAGCATCTGGAGTTGGGAGAAATAAATGCCTGTTGTTCGTAAGCCACCCTTTGACGGGGCTTTGCCACAGCAGCCGGGCCGGCTAAGACAGTCGCACTGACCGAAAGTGGCTCTTGGTGAAATCTGTTGTGACAGCTGGCGGGGCGCGGACACTTGACCCCACACATACTAGCCTCCCTACTTCAAAGGTCAGCGTGCACAGGGGCTCAGAGGGCCCCACCCAGGAGGGCAGCCCACCGGGCCACCGGGCAGAGCACTGACCTCCCACTTAATGTTTGGGGCTGAATTTCAGTCTGTTTTCTTTAAGAAAAATTGCCATTTTTTGGTTGCATAAGGAACAGAAATAGTAGGGACAGTCCTCATTGTCAGTGCTTGAGTCCAATGAGGACTTGCTCCTAATAAGTAGAAGTAAAACATTATTTTGTGGGGGAGGATAATAAACTTTTAGAGAAGCCGAAATAGGCCATTTGGATGTCATGGGCAGCGTTAGCCTAAAACAGACTTTGTGGCCTTTTTCACTCCCTCTTGATTTTTATAACGTGTGACACATGGAGAAGTCCTAAACTTGTAATTTGATTCTTTAAACCTGTCAATGGGGAACTGGACTTGCTTCTAGGCATGCATCACATTTACACCATGTTTTCCCCATCGTGGTCCAACAACTAATGTCATGTGACATTCAAGACCTTGCCAGGTAGGCAGGCCAGGCGATATGAATGGGAGCACAGGAGATGGGAGCCTGGGGTGGGGAGGAGACCCAGCAGCCCAGCCTGTTGGGCGCCCTTTCTCCGAGCTCAGGCTGCACTCCCTTCTTTCCACGGCAGTTTCTAGGCATCTCCCATGGGCCAGCGCTGGGCTCAGTGCAGAGCCACAGAGATGAGTAACCTAGTCTCTGCCCTCATATTTTTAGAAAGAGAGGGAGAGAGAGAGAGAGAGAGAGAGAGAGAGAGAGAGAGAGAGAGAGAGAGAGAGAGACATATATATGAGAGAGAGAGAGAAACATCTATGTGAAAGCAAACATCAATTGGCTGCCTCCTGCACATCCCTTACTAGGGATCGAGCCCACAACCCAGGCATGTGCCATGACTGGGAATCAAACTGATGACCTCTTGGTTCATGGTTGTCATTCAACCACTGAGCCACACCAGCTGGGCTATGCTGTCTTTTAACGTTACTCTAAATAAACCTGCAGATGCTAAAATGTTAGTTCCATAAAACAGAGATTTTTGTCATTTCTATCTTTTTCTGTTCAATAACATAGTCCAAATACCCTGAATAGCGCTGAGCATGGAGTAGGCCCTTACATATCTGTTGAATGAATGAATGATAAAGATCAAATAAAATCTCACTGACTCATTCCAACAATATCCGCTTCAAACAGCCCCAAGTGCTCTGTCAGGGCACCTGGCCTCTAGCCTCCCCAGGATAAAACGTCAGCCCGGTGCTCCGTTTTCCTGATCTGTGCGGGGGAGCAGCGACCCTAGCCTGCTCACCTGACAGGGAGCTCCAAGACAGGCCCGTGGGAGTGCAGACCTGGGGTAGGGCGGGGCCTCTCAGGCCTGAATTCCTGCACCTGCCATGGAGCTCTTGTTTGGAGGCAGCCTCTGACTCAGTGGGGGGCCCACAATCCTCGGGCCACACTTGGGGTAATCCGAGGTCGGTTCTGACGCTAAAGTGATGTTTGGTCCCTGGAGCGGGGGAGTTCTCGCTTCTCCAACATGGCGAGGAGAGATGGTTGGCGGGCTTGCAGGCCCCTCACCTCTGGCTGTAACTGCACTATTCAGTGCAGCTGACTTAGCGACCCTGTTCTCGTCTTATTAGCTCGTCCCTGGCGAACGTTAGCCGGGACTCCCTGGCTAAACACCAACCAGAGTTTGGAGCTTTGTGATCCTCTATCCGTATTTGGGCTGCTAACCTGGGGCCTGTTCAGGATTCGTCAGTCCCCTCGATTTCCTTCTTTATTTGCTTTGGGTGTGACTAATCCCACACTGCTCTTGGGCCTGCAGCCTTTTCCTGGGTAAATTGTAAACTGATACGTTTTCCAGGAGACATTTAATCAGCGAGTTATTGCCTCAAATGGTTTATTGTGTAAGAGGCACAGGGGATCCGGCCGGGGAAGAGGTTCTGGTGAAGAAACAGCATCCAAGGACAGCGGAAGGAGGCCTCTCCTCCCACCTCCCTTTCCCTCTCCCCCTCCCCCCACTCCCAGTTCACTGCTCAGCAGTCCCATGACAACAGATGTGCCGATTTCTGCACAACAGAAATATTAGTTCATGCCATTGATTTAGGGTTTCTCCCATGCAGTTGGAGAGTGAGCGACAGTTTTAAGGTTTTAGCAGTCAGTGCTGACAATCCCTCTAAAAGGAGAGGCTGTGTGGCTGCTGAGAGATGGGACAGGGAGGAGGCACGGCTGGCATCAGAATGTAGGGACGATTTATGATCTCATTTGCTAAGGTTGACATAGTCAGTAATGTTGAAGCCCATTTTATGACCTTTAACCCCATGCTTTTGGTTGCCGGCACATAGACCTAGCAAGTTAAAGTGCTGGAGTGACCAACCATCCCAGTTTACCTAGAACTTACCCAGTTTTAAAAGTCTCACATCCCCGTTTTCACATGGAAATGGTCCCCCAGATGGGACCAAGATTTGAATCCAGGACTATCCTATGTATTCCACAGCCCTCCTTTTGCTGTACCAGTGCTCTTCACACTGTAATGCATAACCACTTGGTTAAAAGGTAGAGTCCAGCCCTAACCGGTTTGGCTCAGTGGATAGAGCGTCAGCCTGCAGACTGAAGAGTCCCAGGTTTGATTCCGGTCAAGGGCATGTACCTTGGTTGCAGGCACATCTCCAGTGGGGGGTGTGCAGGAGGCAGCTGGTCGGGTGGTGCCGATGATGCTATGGGCCAGGACACACTGAGTAGCAGAGCTCTGAGCATTGCTTCCGTGTCAGCCCTGAAGCCCAGCCCCCAAATGGGTTCCCGCCATGTGGGGCCCGGTAAGGCCATCAGCCCAGAGAGCGCCCCTGAACCATGGGTGATGGTCCTGCCAGTTCATCAGTAGGGATTCCAGGGATTTCTGGTGTAGCCCACCCCCTCTCCACTGACTCCTCTGACCTCAGACAAGCCCTCTCCCTCCCCTGTGGGGGCCTCACCCAGCTGCCCTATTCCCCTGTCATTTATTGAGGGGCCTCAATGCCAAGTTTGTGTCTCTCAGGTGCAATCCTGGGCAAGCCATCTGATGGCTGCCTGCATGGGTGCCTTCAGACCTGCAGGTCTGTCCCCTTGAGATCTGGGTGAGCAGAGCTGACCCAGAAAAACTCAAATTGTTTGTCTTAGGGTCCTTGAATTTTGGGGACTGATCCGACTACTATGGTTAGGGATGCTTCTGCCTGCCACCAAATATATGTCTAGTTATAATGTGAAATTCTGGGGTCCTCTGCCATTCCAGCACCATGGTTTGGGACTCCTAGAATAGGAACCATCTAGGTGAAACTTCAAAAGACTAGGGATAATATTGGCACTTTGGTAATGGCCATTGGGTCTGTCCAGTCCAGGATCTGTCTGACATTCTGATCTGGCCCTCCCTGAGCATTCATCAACAAGACTGCAACATGTCAAACATCAGAAGTTACTCAGGTCTCATATAAAGTGTGGGCTTGTAAGTGGCTTGAGTTCAGACTCTGCCATTTACAGGCTGAGCAACCTTGCACTAATTGCTTTCTGAGCCTCAGTTTTCCTACCTATGAAATGGGTTTCTTAATAACCTGTCTCACCGCACCATGGTGAGGATGGAGGAAGATCATAGGAAATACTCAGTAAAGACGACCCTCCCCATTATCAATTACAGTTATTCTCCCCTCGAGAAACTGAGCCCAGAAAATAAGTATGTGGTCTTGATGCAGTGGAGATGGCAGGTGGGAGCCACTAGAGTTGCCAGCACAGCCTAGGACAGCCTGGTCAAGGACAGACACAGCAGTGCTCTCGTTTCTCTGTCCTGCGCTCCTGCATACCTGCTGAGAAACCGTGTTGAACTGTCTCCACAGGTACGGGGAGGATTTGGATGGATGATGTTGCCTGCAAGGGCACAGAAGACACCATCTTCCGCTGCACCTTCTCCAAGTGGGGGGTGACCAACTGCGGACATGCTGAGGATGCCGGGGTGACATGCATCAGACACTGAAAGTGGACACAGCTAAGGTCTGGGCCCTACTGCCCAGCCCCCTTCCTGCATTCCTAGGGTGGGGGCACCGCTTGGGGCACCTCTGACCACACCTCTGCCCTGTCTAGGCCAGCATCCTCCTCCCCCTCATCCCTATCCCAGGACCTCAGTGGCCTGTCATCATTCTCCTCTTGGACATCCGCTCCAAACTGTAACTCTGGGATCTACAGCCTGCCTCTTCCTTCCACCAGAGTTCCTGAGTGTGGAGTCCCGGTCAACTGGATCGCCATTTTGCCCAGCCTTCGAAGCACCAGGCATCAGGCCTCCATATCCATGTTCCCTTAGGTCTGTTAGTTATAGATGGACGGTGAGACTGTGCTGCCGTGGAGATGGTAGGGAGATATCACAGATCATTCACTCTTCAGATAATTCCCAAACCTCAGTTCAGCCAAGAGTTTTGACATCTTCCTTCCCAGCAAGAGACAATACTGCGTGATCCATCTTCCCCTCTTTACGCTGCCTCGGCGTCCTTTTGTTAGTTTGGGGCAGTGACAGCTGTAGGCGTGAGAGGGAAATCAAGTCACCTACAGGAATTGATTTGGATTTGGAAAAGGAGAGTGAAACTCACATTTATTGAGTCATCACCACGTGTGCTGCATAGTGTCTTGGGTACTAAATGTATCCACTTGGCAGCATTTCCATAAGGCATGTTAGCTCAGGTAAGTAAGATTTTACCTGCATACGCCTGGCCTAGAAGTCCTAAAATGGAGAATGACGGAGACCACTGTTCCCACAGGAACCTTAGTGCGTCTTTGCTAGGCTTGAGCAAGAAGCTCAGGTGCAAGACCTGTGTGCCTAGAAGGTTACTTATTTCCAAACCTATGGAGGATGAGTGCAAGGGAAGACATGACTGGCTTCCAGGCCAACCATCCACAGAGAAGGAAGGGTGATGTGGAGGGTACATGGGCGCTGTCGGGGTTAAACTGAGACCAATACTCAGTCATCTGGCAGTCAGGGTTCAAGCCAAGTCGCCTACATCTCAGAGCTGTTTGGAGGTGACGACGTTGAACCTTCCAGGCCTCTTGGGGTGTGATCCTGTGGTCAGGAGACCACGCGTCCTGATGGGTAGGAGTAGAAGGAAATGAGGATGCCTTATAACCTCCAGGGGAAGGAAGGGCGCTGGGCTTCTGCAAATCCTCCATCGGCACCCTCTCCTGGTGACAGGGGCATCATATTCTGGTTTTGACACAAGAGGGAGATCAAAGTGGGCCACCCGTGTGTCCCAGGACCAGCGAGGGAGCACAGATCCACCCCACGTCGGGGAGTCCCAGACTCACAGGCCTGGGACACACAGCCACCTGTCGTATCAGGCGAGCATCAGCCTGCCTGGGGGAAGGGACCCTCCTTTGTGGGCCCAGCAAAGCTCCTAGCTGACAACGAAACCAATATGTGCTATTGGTTGTTATTTGCTTACAATATGCTTGTTAATCATTAATGCCCTAATGATCAGAGACTCTCTTTCTGACCAATTGCTATGTTTACATAACTTGCATGTACTCATGCATTTTTTTCCAGAGCCAATCTATGTATGCGTATATACACATGGCACTGTTTACATCATAGCCCAGCACATTGCAAAGTTTGTATTAAAAAGAAAAAAAAATACTAAAGGTGGAAAGATGTCACATTGAATGAAATAGATTCCCAAGTTGGTTCTGGCAAAGGAGCCGGTTACCCCACTGATGAAGACCCGATGATTTTCTTACTTGGTCTTTTCATTTGGGAAGACACAATTCTTGTCTTACATCAAATGAAAATGATGGTGATAAGTGTTGAACCCTAAAAACACACACAAAAGTCTACTAGTTTACATACCTACTTAAGAGGACGTGGAAATCCCCAATGGGCCTATGTTTCAGGGACTGAAGGAAATTAGGCCTGGCCTACAATACATCCGACCTTTTGTAAGAAAGAATTGCAATAAAGTTAAGAACATGTCACTGACCAGCTTTGCATCACCTTTTTTCTCATGGAAACCCAGTGAGATGGTGGGAGCATTTCTCAGTGGGGACTGTGGTCGAATGGGCATCTGATGAGACGGTGCCTAATATTTCCTGAAGACAATAAACAACACAGACCCAGGACATGTCCAAGCCTTGCTTGGCCACCTAGGAAAGGGTCCCACGCAACAGAATAGTAGCCAAGGCGCGGGTTATAAGAAAATCACTTTTGTAGTCAGTGAAGGGCAAACACGTGTCTATTTCCTCACACCTCCAGAGGTTTTACTTAGAGATGTGCTTCCGCCTGGAGTTCTATTTCCACGTGAGAAGATCGTCCAGATTTAGGTACCAGGTCTGTGAAGTCACTGAGCCCCATCACCTAATGAGCGGCAGGACCTCCCAGGCTCAGGACCTGAGCAAGTGCATGGAGATGGCCCAGGCCACTGCGTGGTCCTGGCCACGTGCTCAGAGCTGGCACCTCTGCACATGTCTATAATGGCCCCAGGGTTGCTGTGGGCCATGATACTTGGTAACGGAAGTGAACAGAGGAAATTTGATTTCTGGAAACCCACAGAGGAGACATGCTGGTTTTCTCCTTTAAAAAGCCAGGTGATGCCACCCGGAATCACTGTGTATCCCGTTCTGTAAACAGGCCCCCATGGAGGGCAGCAGCCTCTCTTGTCCTGCCCTGTCTAATGTCTACAAAGTGCTACCGATGCCCTCAGCTCAAATGCCTGTGAGGAACAACCTTCAGGGCCTGCATGCACTGTAGTTAAACTACCCACTGTAGTGGGCATGGTATACAGAAAGGTGTTAGAGCTTTCTCCACCATCGCCACCCCTTTGTTTCTTCAGCCACATTGTTTTATGACAGTTATTCTAACACTAGAGGCCTGGTGCACGACATCTGTGCACTGGGGGTGGGGTCCCTCAGCCCGACCTGCGCCCTCTCACAGTTCAGGACCCCTCAGGGGATGTCTGCCTGCCACATCCCACCACCGCCGCTGCACTTGCCAGCTGTGAGCCCGGGTTCTGGCTGAGCGGCGCTCCCCCTGTGGGAGCATGCTGACCACCTGTGTTAAGCATCTGCCCCCTGGTGGTCAGTGCATGTCATAGCAACCTGTCGTTCTGCCATTCAGTCAATTTGCATAATAGGATTTTATTATATAGGATTTCTGTAAAACGCCAAATAAGCAAATCACTTGTCTTTATCTTTTTAAACTAGCTCTCCCTTCAACCCTTCACAGAATACCCCTCTCTCATCCCTCGTTTTCTCTCCTTCCCCTCCACCGTTAGCTTCCTGGAGCTGAGATGGGAGCTTTGTCGTTTACCCCTCTCCACCAGCCCACCCCCAGGCAGAACAGGTTCTGGAGCTTCTAGGAAGGCTGTTCAGTTCCCTGGGTCCTTTTCCCACTCCAGCTGCAGGGAACGTGAACTGCTCTCAGCTCTGCATCAGCTCTGTAATGCTGCTTCCTCCAAAGATGCTCTAGCAGTCCCCGGAGTCCACACAGATCGGTGTTCAGCCGTCAACTCAAGGGAACCTCTGCATCTTTCTAGAACTTTCTCTGTGTAGCTCCCTACTTTCAGATCCGATGCCGAACAAATCCTAGCCACCGTGGCCTTCCCTCTCTCCAGTCTTTGTCTCCTCGGTGGTGAGGTGGCCGGCCTCTGGGCTCCCCTGGCTGTGCTGCGGTTGGAGAGAAACCTGGCCGGGAAGGGCTCACCTCTGTCGTTGCCTTTGCTCAAGGATCGCAGTCTTGTGCTACTGTTGCCGAATGACTGAAATTACATTTGAAGCATGTTGGACAATCTTCTGGTTGTGACAGAGGAAGGATGATTCTGGGATGTGCTCTCTCATGGCCTGAAGCAAAGTTCCTGCCGTGGGTATTTTCCGGTCACAGAATCCTAGGAGAGGAGTCTTCATGGCTCAAGCACAGAACGGCGGGAGGCTGGGCCATCGGCGACATGGAAAGAGCATCTTCTTGTGGGGCGGGGGCTGCCCTTCACATTCTCCCACGGCCCCCACCCCCTCAGGCGCCTCTCAAAGGAGCTCCTTGCTTGTTTCTCCTAGTACCAGCTGAGTTCACCTGAGGGTGAGCAGCAAGGAAGTCATATCAGAAACACACAACAGCTTTAAAACAAACAAGTCTCCGAGACAGAAATCTTAGACCTTTGATCGTTCCTTGACTTGTGGTCCCAAAGAGCCGGTGAGCATGTCCCAGCTCCTGGCCCGGTCCCCGTCCCTGGCAGCTCCCCTGCCCACGTCCACACCACAGGCGTTTTCTCATTTCCCACCGTGTGTCCTCCCGTAGAAAAGTGTGATCTGCCTTCCCCCAGAGCTCTAGTCACTGGGCACACGTCTGGGTCTGAGGACAGACTTCATGCTTCTGCGATGGACTGTTCAGGGCAGTTTTACTGGACACAGCAACTCGCCTTTCTCTCCCTGTAGAAACCCAGGCCCTGGCCCCACAGGGAAATGGTTTTGACAAAATTCTTGCCCTTTTTTCATTTACCTGGTCATTCAATACGTATTATTGAGGGTCTGTAGGTAAGGCCCCTACTTGGTACAGGAGATACAGTGGTGGAGCAGTCTGACCGGGTCCCTGCCCTCATGGAGCTTACATTCTAGCTCTTATCCTTTTCACAGACTTTCAGTATAAACACAAGAAGAAAAATACACAACAACAAGAATTATATAGGGGAAGGGGACAGTGGCTGCTTTAACCTACTGATGCAAAATACAAATAACTCGGTTGCTTTTAAAAAATTATTAAACACCGTCTTTATTGCTGAGTTAACAATAGCACAGGTGGCTCTGCTTTTACAAATCAACAGAGGAAATGGGGTGATTAGACACCAACGGTGTGAGCCCGTTCATTCAAAAACTGGTAGCAGTAGCTCATGTGGAAACAGTCACTAACATCTCCTAAGCTTTCCCTGTAGGATAGGCTCTCCGGGCTCTGCAAGGCTGAGCTCCCTGCATCTTTATAACCACTGGTTCTGCTCTAATCGTCCCCGTTCTGTGGGGGTGGAGAGGAGACTCAGACACTAAGAAGATCACATGGTAAATGAGGAAATCAGGACTTGAAATAAAAAAATCTTAAACACTGCACTCTATGTAACACAAGCAGTGGTAATATCAGAAATCTCAAAGGTTAACTCTGAGGAAGGTGGAAATGGAGGTTATAGATCAATTGTGGCAGAATACAAAGTATTTGAGCCCTAGCTGGTTTGGTTCAGTGGATAGAGCGTTGACCTGCAGCCTGAAGGGTCCTGGTTCGATTCCCAGTCAGGGCACATCCCTCGGTTGCAGGCTCGGTCCCCAGTGTGGGCGTGCAGGAGGCAGCCGATCAGTGATTCTCTGTCATCGTTGATGTTTCTATCTCTCTCTTCCTCTCTGAAATCAATAAAAATATATTTTTAAAAAATAAACAGCTCTGCATTCAGTTACCTACATTCAAATGACTCAAGGCACCAGCTACAGAGTGAACCCATAGGGAGCCCTTACACTAGGGCCAACCCACACAGAACAATCACAGCCGCCTCTGATCCACAGATGACTGGCTACAGAGGCTGGAGACGCTCCTTCCTGGCCAGGCCCGGAAGACCTCCGCTTCTTACAGCATTGAAAGGAGTCATGCAGTGGTCAGCTTACGGAACTCCTGGGATCCGTTCATCAGTTAAATCATAAAAGGAGTCCAGCCACGATCCAAATACTTTGAGTTTTTTGTTTCCTTTTCTTTTTAATCCTCACCCGAGGATATGTTTCCATTGATTTTTAGAGAGAGTGGAAGAGAGAAGGAAAGACAGAGAAATATCAATGTGAGAGAAACACAGCAATTGGTTGCCTCCTACAAAAGCCCCAACCAGGGCCCTGGCCGGGGAGGAGCTGGCAACCGAGGTGTATGCTCTTGACCATAATCGAACCCGGGACCCTTCAGTCGGTAAGCCAGCGCTCTACCCACTGAGCCACACTGGCTAAGACAGTTTATTTTTTCTTTTCCCATATTCCTCAGCACTTTTGGTCTTTCTGAAATTAGTCCTAAAATCTTCTCTCTTAGCAAAAAATTTCACCCAAATCATTTTGCGTATAATTTCTTCCCTCTCTAAAATCACTGGGCAATTTTATTTATTCTTAAATCACAAATTTGATTGAGGAGGACGGTGTTGGACATTCGGAGCTGTATAAGAAGCCAGGCTCCACCACAACACATAGTAATCATAGCACATGGGGCAACATTTCCTGAATCGAGAGAGCCATTTACTATTTATGCTGAACGTATTTATTACCTAAGTTATCTAGTTATAACCAGACAAATATTTTATTCCTTCCATGTGTTTCTGAGACATAGTGATACTTGAACAAAGAAAACCGGAAAGTTAAGAAACATAAAGGACCGTGTTTTGAGATCCTTCTTGGGTGGGTTAGTGTCAGGCAGGAGAAGGCAAAAGGCGGTGTGACATCTCTGCATTCACACAGGGCAGGCTGTGCCAGAGGGAGTGGGTTCAGACTGGGAGAAGGGGTTGAGTGGCAAGGAAAGAGGTAATTTACTAGGAAAATCAAGACGGGAGTTGGGTTTCTTAGAAACCGACAAGACCAAATTTTTTCTGGACCTTTCTATAAGGATTCAGAGTTTTGAGTTGGGGACCAGAAACTTCAGGTTCTGTTGTAGACACAAAACCAGAGGAAGGCGAGTAGAATCGGGGGTCTTATGAACAGTGAGCACCCTTTTCTCCTGTCAACTTCTTATCTACAATTGGGGGCAGTAGTATCTCAGATTGCACTGAGAAACAGTTATTAACATCTCCTAAGCTTTCCCTGTAGGATAGCTTCTGTTTGAGTAGGTCACGGTGTGGGTGTTGCATATACCTAGTGGATCAATCTCCTTGGACACTGTGCTTTCATTGAGGTCCTCTCCCATGAGGTGGCCAAGGATACTGCCTGAGGGTGGGCCTTGGCTGGAATGACGCTGCCAGTATAAAACCCAGAGCCATTACTTCTCTA